AAAATAATCAATGACACGAAAACTCTACTACAAATATTAAATCACCATTGTTATTGTTATTTTGTTACATGTGGCTCTTTTTATCGATAATATTATTATTTCACTTTTTATTATTTATTAGCATTACAATGTTAACTAAAATTTTAAAAATATGTTTTTTAATTATTGCTGACATAAAAATGTGATTAAAAGATTTAGAGTGTGTTTGATTACAAGCATAAAATTTGTATTAAAAGAAAATAAATTCTAGACAATTCAATTGTCTATAACTTATTTGTATGAAAATTATTAATTAAATATATTTGGTTGATTAAGTTTTCAACTTAAAAAATGTCATACTTGTCAATTTTTTATTGATGAGAGTATGAATTCCTTGGAAAATTAAATGATACTCCCCCTAAAAAAAAATATTTCCTTTGATTTTGAGAAAAATATGATCACGTGATCAAAGTAAGAAAATATTTTTCTTTGATTTTGAGAAAATTATTTTGAGTCTTATTTAACCCTATTTGACAACCATTATTCTAGAATTATTTAATTCTCATACTCATTTTCAATCACATATTTACATAATAAAATATTTTGCACATTAATCCGAAACTTTTTTTTGCCTTTTAACTCCACATTTTCTAAAAAAAAAAAATCAATATCCAACACTTTATTTTCTCAAAATAATGGGCATCAAGCATGGGCTTAAAATGTGAAAGCTTCGGAGGAGCAGAAGAAAGAAGTTGCTCGTTTCTTTTAAGAATTTTAATTTCACTTTTTTTTCCTATTTAAAATAAGAATCCAAATCTATTTATTATCAAATAAAACTTCTAATTTTATAGTTTAAAATTGTGTTTGATTTTTTTAAGACCCATTGACTGTAAACTTCTCCCGCCCTATTATTTTCACCCAGCTACAAATTCAAAAGGTGACATTCAACTAAGTTTGTTACTAAACTAAATTTTCATCTCGTTTATTACATTGAGAGGCATGTTCCTTCATTTGCTAGCATAAATCATATTTACACATTTGTACAATAAAATTTTCATCTGTACAATAGGGTACAATTTCACAAGATGTCAGGTCTTGGCCGCTTGCATTCCAGAGAACTCTGCTCCTGAGTTCTCTTACCATCAAGAAGCTAAGCTTAAAAGTAACTTCCGAAAAACAAGTAGAAACATACTTTACTGAGAAGTCAAGCTGAGCCGAACATCCTCTGGAAACACGCAGTCAGGACAGTAACAAGGTTACACACTTCAGTAAGATTTTGATGCATAAAGATATCTTTTGCAGCGAAAGTTTCGGTTCAAGTCTCAATGAATAGATCCTTGTAGACGGGCAGACGTCCCCAAATCCAAAACAAGGCCATCCATTACAGTATGTAAACAAGGAGCGCCAATGAAGAGCACATGGAGCCTGTGTTATGAAACACTGTCCGTGCATCCAGTTTCTCAAGACTGAGGTCCCAACAGGTTCTTAGTTATTTTCATTTATAAAGATGTAGCTGCCTGGGAGGATCTGGAGTCCTCAGAAACTCTACCTAATCTTATGCGACGATGAACAAAACACAGTTCATCGAATAGAACACATGGCTTCCTCAATTCTCCGTATGACTACACTCAGATTGCCTCCATTTTCAAGAGCTTTGACAGCAGCATTGTGAGCGTGTTTATGCCATTTGATCAAATTGTAAGATTGCAGCACCGACCAACGTGCTTGATTTGACATCTATTGTAAAAAATGTCCCGTGTCAGAGTTCATACTGAAATTAACGTTTACACAGAATTCGCAATCAAACCCCTTGAACTTACAAGCAACTAGCATTTAGCTATCACGAGTAATGAAAATTGGCAAGGAGAATTCTTTATATGACGTTCCAGTCAAATATTTGTCCAAATTCAAAGAAATAAACTTGTTTGGGAGAGATTTTTCCAAGTGAAAAATGAATTTTTTAGAGAATGTGTGGTCAAATAGTAAGGAAAAATTACGGGACCCATAAAATGTGCTGTTGAAAATGAGTAGGAGAAATGTTTTCAAAAAGTCTCTCTCAAACAAGCTCTATATTTTCGCTCATTCACAATAAGCTGTAATGTATCTTCTCTAATAAAGTCATTTTATACATAATTCCGAACATACCTGCCTAAACTGTTTCCAATCCTTTCTTCTCAACTCATTTCCCAAACCCTGGCCTCTACTAAATCTGAGCTGCCTCTACCATCTCCAAAACCACAATTACCAACACTAGATTTAGCACCAAACATTGCTTCCACCTTGCAGGCTCGGGCCTTTGATTACCCTTTCTCCACTCACCACCAAGTGTCAACACCATTTTCTGTTTCCATCATCATCTATTGGTTCATATCATCATCTCTAACCTCAGCTACAAGTTTTATCATCATTGTCTCCACCTATGCCATGAACCATTGCCTCCTATCATGGCAATTGAATCATGACATCCCCACTAGACATCACCCAATCAGCCCTCTACCTTATTCCATAGCCCTCTAATGATGACTATAGGGCTAGCATAAGACTACCAAAACTTACAACTTCCTATTCCAATCAGCAAGATGATAATTTGGGTCCTCACTCATTTACGTGATCATCAATGATAAAGGAATTTGAATTTGAGCATCAGGCTGACAAAAATGTGAAAGTTGTCTGGAGTCTCTGGACAACATTACGATAGGAAGGGACTTGGTTGATGGTGGTAAGAGTTCATGGGATCATTATTGTTTTGGGTGGGTAATCACAGTGGTGAACAATGCAGTTGCAAATATAGTGGTATTCCAGTAGTAACAGTGTGGTAAATGATGTTCAAGATTGGACGTTGTTGAGAATATAAGTGATTTTCTTTTGTTTTCACCTCTCTGTAAAAAAATAAATAAATAAATAAAATACAATTTCTGGTAGCTTAGTGGCATTTCACATTTCTTATTTATTATGTTTGTGAAAGAACTAAACCAAGGACATGTTTGAGAAGTGTTTATAAACGATTTAAATTATAAAAAGATAGAAATGAGTGGAGGATAAACGGATAGCATTTATGGGTCCCTCAAAATGTGTGGATAAAAAGTGGCTTGAGTGTTTATAAACATGAGCCAAACATAGGCTAAAACATCCACTTGGAATGGAGAGCAACTGGACCCTAGCAGAAGTGTCTCCTGAAAATTTATAATAATTGTGGTATGTAATTTACCCAAGAAGACGGCCTGATTGTTTACTTCCATTTTTTACCAAAGGAAACAGTTATGATCAGAAACAAACCTGTAAAACAGAGAGTGGAGGTTCCAGAAGAACACAGATGCTCCTAAATAGATTTTCATCATTTTCTCCACCCTCAGCATCTCCATAGACGAGAGCTTCAGCTGCAATCCCAGCAAAGAGAACCATACAATACCTGACATTTTCCAGCAATGCAAAATTTTATTAAAGGAATTGAAAGTTTACACAAGTTCTAGCAAGAAAAGATTCACTACATCCACTCGAGCTAAAATTCATTGCTTTTAAGCATTAGATAATCTATTTTAAAAATCTAAAAGTGACGCAAAGAACGCTTGGAAGCAACTTTGACTAGAACCTCGCACTACAACCTGTCAAAGGCAGTACCACTGACATGGCCTTCAGCAAGCTCATTTTGAAGTTTCTCATCCCAAAACTGAGTTCCTGCCTGTAAAAGCCACGTCCAGATAAATATGAGGCCACGAAAAACACAACCATGATCATCAAAACAAGATATTGACAGGTAACAGAATTACAGAAACATAAAGAGAGCTCAAAATGAATAATTTTTTATCCAAAAACAGTTGTCATAGAAACATGAGTTTTCAAACATCACTCGTAAATTATTTTAATTTCCTGGGCAGGGAAGAAAAAACTCAATATTGGAAACTAAATTCTATCTTGTATGACTTCGCTCTTCAAAATGGCTTCAAGACAAATGATGGCAAAACAAAATTCATCTATGTTGAAATTAGTGTGTGTGTCAGTGAGTGTCTGCTGATTGACAAATTATAAGAAACAATGTTCCTCTAGGAAGGAAGAAGCCTAAAAGAGCAACAATAGGTGTGATGAACTTAAACAAAAGAAAAAAAGTGAATCAAAAAATTGATGTCAGCAATATAACACTAAGGATTAAGCTAAAATAATGATAAATGATATCAGGAAATATGACACAACAGCACGTGCCAGAGTAGATATACCTGTCCCTGAATGCCCATTTGCATTGCAACGATTGGGTCTAAAATTACACCTCGAATTGGACAACCCATCAGGTATGCTGCAAATTCAACATCTATGTTAAATAGGAGATCAGAAAAACAACGGCTGTTTCATCCTAGAGTCAGAGTTTTTGAGTATGCATTATATTATTCCCAAGCATAATGTAAACCACAACAATGTTCTGCTATTATTTCTTTATCCAGGCTTTTGGGCAGACTGCAGAGTATGCAGGTTATAAGTGTATTAGGAATCATGTCATAAAGCACTAAAAATGCATTCTAGGTATCATATGCACTGAAGTTCCTAAAGGTGGCCCTTAATTTTTAACAAAGACAGTAATCATTTACAGCTGGAGTTTTGACATATTTTGCTTGGCAATGCAGTACTATTTCAACAAATTGTCAGGAATATAGCTTACCTACAAGAAGATGACCAGCTTCATGAACTAAAATGCGGCGCTTATATGGAGGCCAGTAACTTGAGATTTGGGCTAAGCATGAACCACCGAGAAAAATAGCATCTAACATGGCTAACCCCAATACTGCTGCTAGGTTAGGTCTGATATCTATTCCTTGACTCAGAAGAAAAGACACTCCAGCAAACATAAAGATCGAAACAACACTAGAGCTTCCAGAAACACCCCACTTTTTTGGTGAAAATTTTGACACTGGAACAGGAAAATAAATAGAGGACAAATAGTAAAGGATGTTGATACAAATCTACAAAACAGTATAAAATCTTAACCGCTTCAACTAAACACAGTAAGAAGAAATATTAATTTATGTAAATGGTAAGAAGTGACTGGTAATGCCTCTGAATAGGTTGTGTAGCATTTCCTATCTCCATGTAGGAATTGTACCTTCTAAACCAGTTGAAGTCTTCAACACAGTTGGTGTAACTTCTCTTGGTCCCTCTAATACTGCACAAGACAATTATACAAGCAGCTTCCATAATGCTCTAATGATAGGTTTATGCATTCAGAATGACTTTGAGCAACTAGTGCATTACACATGGAATAAAATATTTGGTGTTGGAAAGTAAAGATATACCAGAAAAAAGCAGAAATCCATGAGATCGAGTATTTGAATTCATCGATTAAAATGCTATAGTAATATTTTTAACTCAACAACATAAAGGAAATTGATAAGAGATGTTTTCACCATTATCTCACATAGAAGTTATGGTAAATTAATAATTTCACTCGGTGATAGAGAAACCATTCAGTAACTGAATCTCCCCACGTCACATAATGTGGAAGATCAACCCAAGTAGGCCAACAAAACCAGTCACCCTACGCACACTCCCTCGCACAAGTGGAAAATTTTACCACATGGCCAGATTAGGCATTGAAGTCCCGGCTGATCATGTACCAAAGCCCAAGATATCATCTGTTTGATGCTAGGTTGCATGGAAACTTGTAATATACTATGGAAACAAAAACTTTTAGGAAACTGAAAAAGGTTTCCTACTTTTTTATTTATTCTTTTATAGAATTTGGAAACCTTGAGGAAACTTATGGAACCTTTTGACTAGAATATTTGAAAATTTAGATTAAGAATTGCATATTATTATGGACCTTTTATGGGTTTCAACTAAGTATTAACTTAATTCCAAGCGTCAACTATATACTTACCTAATTTTGTGCTCTAATTCGTATAATACGGTGAAATTAACAAGTTAGAACAACCTAAATGGGTGGCAAGATAATAATATGCAACCAGAGTATATTGAATAATATATTTCGACCACATTGAGGAGAACTATGCTTCAAACCGGTTTATAAGTAGATAAGTAGACGGTGTCTAAGTGATTATAAGCTCACAAGTCGAGTCCTTAGTTAGGTCACTGGTAGCCCCGAGTCTACTCGGGTCCATTGCGTACGGGGATCATCGGAAGGGCGATACCGATCATTGCAATCACATTGAATTGGAGAGATCTTTAAATGGTTAAAAGAACAGACAAGCCTTATATTATCTATGCGAGACACAACACAATTAAGGTAGTGACACAATAACAGCTCAATTGTCATCAAATGCAAATCAAAGCACAAAACATTCACTATAAACCATACAAAGTGTAGAACAATTGTTTAATCCTATGAGAAACAGGTAAATTACCAATATTGCGGAATTTTCCGAAATTGGGCAAGAACCCCCTGTCTTTCAGAAAAGCATAAGCACTACCCACAAGCATCATGTCATCAGCATTCAAGCACGTGTCCAGAACCTCCCAATCCCTATCCGATCCAAACAAACCCAACTCACCACCCGATGACTGGGTTGACTCAATCGAAGAATTTTCAGATTCAATGGGTATATCTTTCAATAATCTGAGAGCCTTGGCCAGGTCTTTATGCTTCACCGCCTCCTCGTATTCCTGCCACTCCCTTAGAACCCTGGTTCTGGTGCGTGCACAATCCTTTCTGGTTCCAACTTGGGCATGTGCTGAAAATGGAAATGGTTGACATATGATAGAATCATTTGGGCGCGTAATCCCATTGTGTGGAAGAATGAGAGCGTTGATTGTCAAGTGTAGAGGAGGGAAACGGGATGATCCAGCCATTGGAGATTTTTTATTCTTTGCCCTGAGATTCCCGTTTGCTAGAGAAATTATTTCGTTACAGCATGATTGGCTATAAAACGATTTAAGTAACTTTATCTCCCCATATATATATTTTGGTAACTGGATTTTTAAAACTTTTTTCTAAACTAATCTCCTTTTTGTGCATTGCACAAATTTTATATTTATTTTGATTTTATTAGCGTAAAATTTTTAGATTATACAAAAAGAATTTGAAAATAAGAAATGTTTGTTTGATTCTCGTCTTTTGATCGACTGTATATTTTATATCACGATAATTTATTTTTATTCTTATAAATAAGTATAATGAATGTTGTAATTGTATATATGTCAACGATAATTTATTTTTAATTATTTTTTGTATTTTTTATTTAATGTAGATGAAGATTTTTTTTATCTGATATTACAAATAAGTTGTAAATTAAATTTCGCAAAATGCTTTTCTTTAACAACTTCGATTCGAAAAGCTATACTTGTAGTTCAAAAATAACTTATGCAGTTGTAAATTGAAAGAAAATATCCACATACACAAATATTTAAATAACAAACTCAAGTTCGCACGTAAAATAATTTGAAGTGGCACTTATTGGATAACTCCCTTGTTGGTGTAAGAATTAGAGCCCTAACAGCAAGCCTATTCTTCGAACGATACAACAGTCACTTCAAGTTTGGTAGGGCAAAATAATTTAAAAAAATAATAATAAATAAATTTTATTTGAAAGAGAAAAGAATTAAAAAGAAATTTAAATAAATTGATAAAAAAACCAATTATTTATAAAGTAAATTTTTCAATTTTAATTTTCAATTATTTTTTACATAGATTCACATTGTCACTCTTACACTATATATATAATATAATAATATAAGAAAATAAGTTGATTTGAAAAGGTGTGGCCATAGCGTATGAAAATGGAGAACAAAAAAGTACAAAAAAAAAATTTGAACCGAGACCACACTATATATAATTTTTTTTAATTCTTTTCTCTTCAATTTTTTTTAACCTACAAATAACATTTCCTTAAAACTGAAAAATTAAGTTTTGTTTGGAAGAGAAAAGAATTAAAAAGAAAAAAATAATTTATTTTTTTAAGAAAAAACGCATTTGTTAACACATACGTTTAATCTGTGTTTAACTATTTTCGATATTTATTTAGATCATTCGATATCTCTACGATATAGTTTTCAAAATGAGTTTCGAGAGAATGTAAAATATTTATCAATTCGACTATCGTATAATCGTTGATGAATTTTTAAAGTTAACTTGTTATCGAAAATTTTGAAATAGTAATAAAATAATTGATTTTTTAAAGGAAAAACGACTTATGCATATTTTTTAACACATACGTTTAATATCCGTTTAACTATTTTTGATATATATTTAAATCATTCGATATCTCTACGATATAGTTCTCAAAATGAGTTTCGAGAGAATGTAAAACATTTATCGATTCGATTATCGTACAATCGTCGATGAATTTTTAAAATTAGCTTGTTATCGAAAATTTCGAAATATAATTTGAAAATGCCTACTTTAACGTCCCATGACATTTGCTATGATTGACCGTTTCACACACCGTTAACGACGTGCAATATTATGCCGCGAGTATTTCAAAATGATATTAAGAATGTAATATTCGAATTTCGTTAAATATCTCGTAATGAGTCTGAAAATGAACACAAAAATATAAGTAAAAAAAAAATCATTTCTCTCTCTGTGCACGGAGACCATGGGTCTTCTCCGTGCATGGAGTCTTTTGGGCCTCCGTGCACGGAGTCCTCTTATTTTTTTCCTTCTTTTTTCAACAAAAGATAATACATCTTTATACTATATAAACTAACTATAGTGATATACTTAAAATTTTGAGTTAATACTTAATCTAAAGTAATATTTAAATAAATTTAATTTAAAAAATTTAATATTACTAAAAATATTACTATAAAATTAAATATTGTCTGAAATTATTAGAAATATCCAACTACAATGATATAGTTTTTTTTTTTTTTTAGTTTTCTATATCTATAATAATGAAAAAAAATCCATGCATTCTATGCATGGAGGAACGCGTCGTTTTTGCTCCCCATTTGAAAAAAAATGAAATTTTAAATAATTGAAATTTTTTTTACGTCATATCGCATAATTTTTTTGAGCAAAATGATGTGTTGAGAAAAATTTTGCGAAAAAAATAATAAATAGCAATAAAAAATTGATTTTTTTAGGAAAAAACGATTTATACACATTTTTTAACACATACATTTAATGTCCGTTTAACTATTTTCGAAATTTATTTAGATCATTCGATATCTCTACGATATAATTCTCAAAATGAGTTTCGAGATAATGTAAAATATTTATGATTCGTACAATCGTCGACGAATTTTTAAAGTTAACTTGTTATCGAAAATTTTAAAATAGTAATAAAATAATTGATTTTTTTATGAAAAACGACTTATGCGTATTTTTTAACACATACATTTAATATCCATTTAACTATTTTTAATATCTATTTAGATCATTCGATATCTCTACGATATGTTCTCAAAATGAGTTTCTAGAGAATGTAAAACATTTATCGATTCGACTATCGTACAATCGTCGATAAATTTTTAAAGTTGTCTTGTTATCGAAAATTTCGAAATATAGTTTGAAAATGTCTATTTTGACGTCCCATAACATTTGTTCTGATTGACCGTTTCACGCACCGTTAACGACGTGCAATACTATGCCATGAGTACTTCAAAACGATATTAAGAATGTAATGTTTCGACTTCGTTTGATATCCCGTAATGAGCCTGAAAATGAACACAAAAACATAAATACAAAGAAAAAAAATTATTTCTCCCTCTGTGCACGGAGACCTTTTGGTCTCTTGGTCTCCAAGCACAGAGGCCAGTCCTTCCAATTTTATTTTATTTTTTTATTTTTTTTTGTTCCCTCTGTGCACGGAGATAGTGTCTCCATTAGTCTCCATGCACGGAGGCTTTTGCTCCGTGCACGAAAATATTTTTTTTTTTGTTGTGTAATTTTACGTTATAATTTTTTTTCAATTTAAAATTCTCTTTAATTCTTTTCTCTTCAAATTTTTTACTTACAAATAATATGTTGTAAAAAAATTATATCTCATATTATCTCTATATATATATATATATTTTTTTTTATATAAAAGTAATTTTTTTCTTATATCCCTACTATATATATTCTAAATTGTTCACATTATAATTTTTTTTAAATTTACAATTCTTTTCTCTTAATAATTCTAAACAGAAACTTAGATTTGAGAATTTTTTTTCTGTGTAGTTTTACGTTATAAATAATAGTTTTTTCAATTTAGAATTATTTTTAATTTTTTTTCAAATTTTTTATTATTAATCAGTATTTTTTAATAGTTTAAGATAAAATTTAATTTTCTAGTAATAATTTAATATATAAAATGATTAAAAAAAACATATTCATTCCGTGCATGGAGAAAAAAAATTTTCGCCATACCACATAATTTTTTTAAGCAAAATGATGCATTGAGAAAATTGTTGTGAAAAAAATAAGTAGTAATAAAATAATTGATTTTTTTAAAGAAAAAACGATATATACGCATTTTTAACACATACGTTTAATCTCCATTTAACTATTTTCGATATTTATTTAGATCATCTGATATCTTTACGATATAATTCTCAAAATGAGTTTCAAGAGAATGTAAAATATTTATTGATTCGGCTATCGTACAATCGTCGATGAATTTTTAAAGTTAGTTTGTTATCGAAAATTTTGAAATAGTAATAAAATAATTGATTTTTTTAAGAAAAACGACTTATGCGTATTTTTTAACACATACGTTTAATATTCGTTTAACTATTTTTGATATCTATTTAGATCATTCGATGTCTCTACGATATAGTTCTCAAAATGAGTTTCAAGAGAATGTAAAATATTTATCGATTCAACTATCATACAATTGTCGATAAATTTTTAAAGTTAACTTGTTATCGAAAATTTCGAAATATAGTTTGAAAATACTTACTTTGACGTCCCATAACATTTGCTATGATTGACCGTTTCACGCACCATTAACGACGTGCAATACTGTGCCGTGAGTAAACGATATTAAAAATGTAATATTTCGACTTCGTTTGATATCTTGTAATGAGCCTGAAAATCAACACAAAAACATGAGTATAAAAAAAAAAGAAAAAAATTTATTTCTCTCTCCATGCACGGAGGCCAGTCCTTCCAATTTTATTTATTTATTATTATTTTTTGTTTCCTCCGTGCACAGAGAGATTATTATTATTTTTTTTTTGTTGTGTAGTTTTATGTTATAATTTTTTTTTCAATTTAAAATTATCTTTAATTCTTTTCTCTTCAAATTTTTTACTTACAAGTAATATGTTGTAAAAAAAATTCTGTCGCATATTATCTCTATCTTTTTTTTATATATAAAAGTGATTTTTTTCTTATATCCCTACTATATATATCTATATCGGAGTGGGGGAGGAATGGAAATTGCGAAAAAATTTATGTCGTATATTATTTCTATTTTTTTTATATATAAAAGTGATTTTTTTCTTATATCCCTATTATATATATCTATATCGAAGTGGGAGAGGAATGGAAATTGCATGTTGCAGTAAAATCAGAGGTAGTGTATAATAAATAAATATATATCAAGCAAACTGCGTCGTTTTTGACCTCAATTGAACAAACAAAAAAAAATGATACAGTAAAGATGGATCAAGACACTGTTGCTTTCTACAGTGCCCTCACATTCCCCTTTTTATATAATAGGGATTAATTAATTAACTTAGTTATTTTAACTTTAATCAATAAAATATTATTATAAAATTTACTTATGACTTATAAGTTACAACTATTACAGTTAATAGTTCCAATAGTCATTGAACGTATATATATAAAATCGTTGTACGTTAGTCACTGACATACCTTCCATCTCCATCTTCTAACGAAATTGATGATGTGGTTGACAGAATGCACATGTGACATCCCATCATATCGTTAAACCTTGAGATAGTCGAATTTTAGCAATTGAACTTT